ATTTCATTTTTTCCTTTCTCTTTGGAGTGTTACAAGCTCTTGGTGCATAAAGAAGATCTGTAAAGTTGCAAAGACTAAAGTCTCAAATCCAAAGAGATATTCTTTATAAAAGTTAAGAGTCAGCCACGCCTACCTAAAACGGCTCGTTCTAACACGCCCCCACATGTCTACGTCACGATGTGGGAAGATTTGCATAATGCCGCCCAAATGTTCACGCAAAGAAAGGCGGCGTAACTTTTATTCTTGCTGTAGTTTTGTTGTTGCCGCCGCCGCCGCCGCCGCCATCTCGTGAAGGCGCTGTGTGTTTCCTTGTGAAAGTGAAACTACTTTGTTTGGCCTTCCAAAAGAGGACGATATCCGCTTCGTCATGCCTAGAGCTGATCCGTGCTGGTCGCTGAGTGGATCGCCAGATTGGCTTTCACCGTGGACGAAGCGGAGTCCAGCCCGGGGGTCGTCACATGTGGTTGCCGCAAGCCCCCGCCCGCGCCGTTCTCAAGCTCACCGGCCTCCTCTCACTCAGCCCGCTGGCTGTTCCTCACTCTAGCCGCCGGCCTCCGCTCACTCTAGGCCACCGCCGTGTGTGATGCTGTTTCGTTGTAAAAGCGGAACTACTTTGTTTGGCCTTCCAAAAGAGGACACGACTAGAAATCAGTGGTTAAGTTGTATTTACAACACTGTTCCAGAACAGGCCAATCACAATGCACTGGATAGCTGGCCAATCACAGCACACCTCGCTTTTCAGACCGATGAGCTTTGTAAAAATCAACGCGTTTCAGAAAGGCGGGGCATAGACGAGAAACAATAATGTACAGTATGTGGAAAATAATGTGTTTTTTTAACCTTAAACAGCATAAACACATTTGATTACACCAAATACACAAAATAATGTTCGTTTTAGCAACATCATATGACCCCTTTAACAAAACCTGTCATATTATGCATGTAGCTTAAATGATATCACAACTTCATCTGGCTTGTACAATACAGTGTGACAGTGTACAATTTCTCCAACACCTAGCGTCACCAAACAGAATGGCAAAAACTGATTGTTCAGGAAACAGGTTTCCTGAATACTCGCCAGCTGCCACTGATAGTCCTACTCAAAGCCAGGTTTGCGGTGTTGGGTTGGTCAAGATGCTCAAACCGAACAAAATTTTGAAGGTGGAGTTTTTTAAAAGCATTTTAAAGCATAGCTGTGCTAGCTGGCATATATTACACATTTATGTAAAATTAATCATTAAGCTCCAGTAAATGAAAAGCTGTATATGTTATTTAATAAAGGGCTCCTGTTTAAGCAGATGTTTTAGCTCATTTTGTCATCAGCACACTCAATTACATAGCCTAATCAGTGTTAAGTGAAACATAAGGTTAAGTGCATTTGGCACAATTTCATTGCCACACAGAAGAACGTTATTCACCAAATAAAAAATTGTTTAGGTTCACGCTGCTGCGTGAGTGAGTGGTGGCAAATTTGGTATTTTTTTCTTTTCTGACCAACGTAATCTCTTGATATTTACTCCCTCTTTTGTAAAGCCATCATGGATTTTTTCATTTTCTATTGAAACAAAAGGCAATGCAAAAAATTTATTTGCTGTAGTTTGCTTTCATCACTATGAACATTCTTTCAGCCTAAGCTGTTCAGTGAAGTATGGCTGCTGTTCAGTGGAGATAAAGCTCATTTGTGAACTCTTTCTTACCTTTGCGGGCCTGTTCTTCCTCATTGAGGTTAATGAGCAGGTATCGAGGGCTCTCTGGACAGAACGGAAGCAGTAAACATTGCAGGATGGCAGGTAGCACGGTTAGAGCTAGAAGTACAGGCCAGAGCTTATCTGAACCCAGCAGATACTCCAAACCAAAAACCTAGATGGAAAAGGACACGACTTATAAGAAACTTGAACATTTACAAATATCAAATTAAAACCGATTAGGTTATGATGGGATAAATTAGGCTAGCAGACTTAAAAATGGATCGGCAGATTCAATTAGAAGCTTCATGTAACAGAAGTGCATCAAAACTAATTAGAGGGGATATTTCCCCAAGGCTTTGTTGTGGCACAAACATATAATGAGGCCACAAGGCTCTTGAAATGATTTACACATTTTTTATAAACCATCTGGTCATATCCAAAATTAAAAACTACTGTAAGGGCAACGAACTACATTGCTGCGACATAGAATGCTTTACCTGTGCGATTAAGATGCCAATCACGACACCAAGCTGGTGCAGGGTCCCAAAGGCCCCGCGGAGGGGAGTCGGCGACACTTCCCCAACATACATTGGAGTGAGACCAGTGAAGAGGCCACAGAACAACCCAATAATTAGCCGACCGGCAATGACCATCTCAAAGGAGGAGCAGAGAGTGCACAGTCCCATGAGACCCCCGCCAATCAGAGCCAAGATATTCACAAGGATCATAGATTTACGTCTGCAGAAAGAAAAACAGACAGACGGGGATGGAGTTCAATTGAATTAGAAACACTAATTCAGCAGTAGAGGAAATGAGAAAAATGACTGCAAGAAAGAGAAGAACACAATGTTAAGACTTACACCCTTTTTTTAGTCATAATTTTCCTATTTGGATGAAAATGTCACAACATTTAGTCAATACTCATCATGTTCATTTTATTGTATTTTGCTCTGACTAAAATGATATATACTACTTTCAGTTGACAATAACGTGCAAAATGACAGAATAAAACTTGTCAAACTGTAATAGACCCAAACATTTAAACACAAAAAAATCAATTAATAATCATTTAATAATTTAAAATGATAAAGGATTTATCAACATAATCAAAATGTAATGTTGTAAATTTTATAATTCTTGATGATTTTTCTTCTAGATTATTGCTGACGAAATCAAAAACCAGCCAAAACCAGGGAGAGTGGCAGAGAAGGCCACAGAAAAAGAACAATGGCCACTGAGCACACATGAATGCGTGCTTTGAATGTGGCTGTTCTGACAGTGTGGACAGTGTTCAAGCAGACAGGAAGACAGAGAGGTCAACTCTTCATCTCTGAGTGCCCTCATTACAGTAAACTGCTTTTATTATTAATGAAGCATTTACTGTCCAGTAAAAGCACCATTGTGAGTAAATCTGACATAAGCTGATGTATTATCTAGCTCTGGTTTCCCAACACAACAACACAAATGAAAAATGACTACACTAAAATTCTCTGTACATCTTTCTTATATTTTTTCCACTTTACTGATGCATAAAATAAAAGACGGGGAATGATGGAGTAGGCCTGGGCGATAAAACGGTATCGATATTTATCGACGGTACACCTTCTTTGATAACGATATAATAAATGTTCGATATAGCACACGATATTGGCACGTGCTATGAGTGACGCAGACAGCACACACAAACACGAACACATGCTGAATTGAGTGCTGTGCCTGCCTGTGATGAGGAGATTGTGAATAAAAAAAATTATATTAGTCGAATTTAAAATAAACATTTGCATTTGAATGTTAGGTGTGCATCAGGGAGCGTCATCAGTGGCGCGCGAGATGCGGTGATAATGATGTAAGTGACGTTGTTGCATTTTACTGTTTTGTTAGTCTAGCCCACGAGATGCGCCGCTGCAGTGTTATGCATTCAAAATATTAGAGAAATATAGAAGCTCAGTGCGGAGAAGATCTTGATTAGTTGAAAACCGAAACCAAGCCATTCACACAGATGCATATTCAGCGCACTTTTTAGATGGACAAATATGACTGCTGCACTCGCGTCTCACACAACAGAAGTTTTCCTTTCTCTTTGGAGTGTTACAAGCTGAGATAAGATCCCTGAAGTTGCAAAGACTAAAGTCTCAAAACCAAAGAGATATTCTTTATCAAAGTTAAGACTCTGCCACACCCCCCTAAAACTGCTCGTTCTAACGCGCCCCCACATATCTAGGTCACTATGTGGTAGTATTTGCATAATGCACCCAAATGTGCACGCAAAGAAAGAAGGCATGGTTTCAGTAACCGCAGTTAGTGTTGAAGCAGCCATGTCAGGGAGACGTAAATTAAGCACTGTATGTTTTCATAGCATTCAGTTGGCACGTTTGTTTTAAGGACATTGGGCAGAATGTGGAATAGTGTGTTTTTGTCAATAAAATAAAAAAAGAAAATTGTTTGTTTTTAATCCGATTAATCGGAAGAAGGAAGAAGAAGAAAGAAAGAAAAAAATCTACCAACTAATCGATCATCAAAATAATCGTTAGTTGCAGCCCTAATGCAATTTACGAAATTATATATGATTTATATCAGTTAATTTAGACCTAATGCACGTTTTTTATAGACTTATTTCCTTGCGTTGACGATTTAAATGTGCTGCATTATTTTGCTCATTGCGCCCTCCTGTGGCCTCGGGAGACAAACCAAAAGATTCCTTGAGACCTATTTAATCTGCATATAAAACATTATAAATTAGATATTTGTTTAATTTTTATTGTGTGTTT